TTCAGACAATCTTTCGGACGTGGCCCTAATCTTCTTCCGTAGCAACATGTGATTATGAGGACTTTTAAGATTTTAATTTAATAAATCTATACTCACATTAAGTATTTTGTGTGTTGTATTTAGCGACCTATTTTATACACCAGGGGTGTCCAAACTGTTTTGACTGAGGGCACATAAGCATAATCAATCAAATACATTATTCTTGATAATTAAAATCCTTTAAGAGAGAAAACAGCCTTCCATCAGGTTTTATTTATTTTGTTACAAAAAGTGTTGGCAGCTAATCCCTTAAAAAAAGCTTCAGATTGCTTATAATAAGGGGAAATACTAAAGTATATTTCAAGCTTTCTATGCAAATAAGTTATTGGGCTGTTTTTTTTAGAAAACATTTTTTTTTTACTTTAATTGACTGAATTTATTTGAAAATTGGGCACATTAACACACAAATACTACTGTGTCACATATGTTTACATATATATTTAAGAAGTGCAATTTAAGATAAGCACAAGTTTCAGGTGTGGGCCATATCCCATTATACTCTTACAATTTCCTGACAGCAAATTCAAAATGGACAATAGGTCGCAGTTGGACCCCGGGCCGTAGTTTGGACACCCCTGTTACACACCAATGAAACAGTATTTAGATGGAACCTGAATGAGTAGAGGAGACTCTGAGTGTCCCACAGATATAAGAACCATGTTGATGTGACATTATAAGCATACATTGATTGAATTGGCACCATCACAAGTATCCTTAGCTAGATGTCGTTTCTGTTATTACTGTAGCCATGTCTGTTCGACAGCCATCACTGGATTACTTTGATACTTGTGATCATTCTCAGACTAGCTCTGAGGGTTTCTATGATTTCTAAACCGGTTTGAATGACTCATAGAAGGATGATTGTAAATCACCTTTTTTGTTATTTATGTATTATACCTATAAATGAGACATTGTGCACATCAGTGTGGTTTGCATGTCTTTGTGTGACCATGAGTAATTCTGAGTTATGAACTCACCTGCTGATGCAGCAGAACGCCACCAGACGGAAAAGGTCTGCAAAGCTCAGGCCTGACCCCATCAGGGAGAACGCTGCAGGAGCACAGAACATTTTTTACTAACCATTTTTATTCCTTTGCTTCCTTTGGTTAATTTCTCAAATCAAACTGCTTCAGTTTAAATGACTACAATTACTGTCAATGCATGGAGGGCGAGATGTGTTGTGTTGGAAGTGACACTGACTTATTAAGAACGGATGACTGTCCTCAGGTAATAAAAGTGACGTCCTTAGTCCACACCTTTACCAATAGTCAACAAACAAGATAAATGACAGTAAAGGCTGTAGTGGGCGGAGATTCCCAGCAGCACATAATCTCATTAGGTACTGAAAGCACTTGGCAATTCCAGTCTGGTGCCAAAGTTTCAGAACATACAGGTACAGGGAGAAGACACATCAGTGATGAGTTTGATCACAGCTTTAGGAAATACCCTGTGATTCAAGAAGCGGAAAATAAAACAGGACAAAGAATAAAGATTTAGTGATATAATAATTGCAATGATCATGTAGGCAGAAGTTGGGATATAGTATTCTGAAGCCTCTGACACATTAGATAAGATAATCCTTTAGCTCTGGAACAACACCTCCGGAATACTGTATAGATGATGAAAGGTGAATGTAAAGAAAACATCATGTTGACCAGAATTATTTATTGGTTATGATTCTTTTGCCAACTATTCACTTAGTGCATCCTCACAGCCAAGTCAGTAAGCCAGACTTGACTATAGTACAGCACCCGGAAGGAGAGGGGAAAGAGAGGGGAGCTAAGCTAACTCAGCATGGGCCTAATGCTATTACAACCCCCCCCCTGCTCCTGGCTGTTGTCTGTTTGCAGGAAATCCTGTCCTCCAAGATAAAGCTCTGGACGGGCTGATACAGGATAGTGTTTCCATAAATGTTGCTGGTGATCAAAAAACATCGGTAACAGACAATGTCATCGTGATGTGTCATAAACCAATTTAGGTTGCTAATATTACATTTAATATCTAACTCCGTCAGCCTACTTTCAGCTGCAGAAACCATTCAACTATTAACTTATCCAGCTATTTCAGGACATTGAGGCTATACATGTTGTTGTTTATACCTTTTTTAAACCTTTTCTTTTAAATATTAAGCTTCTTCACTATTTTTCCTCCTCTTCCAGTTAACATTTCACTTTCAAGTTTCCAACAAAGTCATTGCAATGCATTTGAGCTGTAACAATTTGATTCAAATCATTTCACTTTTCTGCATTTCTCTGCTAAGTTCAGCAACACACTTAGTTCATTCAACTAATAACATATTCAGCTTTTTCTGCATTTTCTGCTAAATTCAGCAACAAATGTTCACAGTTTACAGCATTCACACGCATTTTCTGCAGGAAATGCATTTTCTAGTTCCATTACACTTTCTTATATGTTGTTTTACTGTAGGATTTGTGGTGGATTAACACAAAACAAAGTTCATTTATCCTGATCTGAAATAATTTCAGTGTGCTTCATACAAACATATATTATCTGGTGGTCCAATTTCAAATTCGCTCTGCATTTGGTGCGAGCACAAGAAGAAGAAGAAGACACCTGATTGGCGGCTCCATGCCAAGAAAAAAACAAAGAGAAGAAATAAACAGAGGCTTACTGTACTGGCTCTCCTTCACAGGGAAGTCTTTGACGGTGACCGCAGAGTCTTTGTTCATACGTAGGGATATTACTTTTCTCTGCAGGCTGGTGGACTTCCTCACCACGAATGACTGCAGACCAGGACAGGAAATATCCATCAAAACATATAGTGAAACTGCGTCATTCAATGTGTTTATGACGTAAGTGTCTTTTAAGAGATTATTGTCTTGGGCTTATCACTATCGTTTCAAGAGAATAGCGCTCAATTATTAAAAGGTTGTCTCATTTGCTTTCACGCACCAATCAGGATTTAGCAATAGTTGATTCAATGTGATGACCATGTTTTACCTCTGTTAGATAAAATGGCCAACCTACAGTATATCACTTAAATTAACTCTGTTTTTGGAATGGGTTAAAGATGATTTAATTTGATAGCATAATCTATTATTAGCCATCTATTTCTATGACAATAATACATATATTATTGAATAGCATTTAAAATATTTTTGTAATGATCAAAAAATACATATTAGGCTAATTTTCAGGTTCATATTTGTATTTAGTGTCTCTACTGGGACATGTCTCAGTCCTTTAAAGTTCAAAAAGCTCTTTGTTGTACTCATACTGCCTGTGCTGCAGCACCTCTTTTCACCCTCTGTCTGAAACCAGAGCCCAGTCTGCTCTGATCGGTTAGCTGGCCGGCTCTGTTGTGATTGGTTAACAACTTAGAGATGTGTCAGAAATGTCCTGCCCCTTAGCCTATCAAGTGCAATGTGAGGGGAGTGCTAGCCAATAGAAGATTGAGTGTTACTTTTACGGCTGTATGTATTCCCTGTTTCTTTTTCCCTTTGGTTCCTCTACCCAGGTGTGCTGCATTGCTGTAACGAGGTTCAGACGAGGTGCACCTCGGGAAGGAAGTGCTTAAAAGCTCCAGTGCAGCAGCAGGACTGCTGTGTTTCTGCCTCTCATCCTAGGATGGATAGTTAAACATTTGATGTGTTGGTTATAATAAATCCTATGGATTTGATGATTTTAAAGGTGTCTTTCGTGTTCTATTTGGGTCAGTGGTGGAATTTTGTTAGCCCCATAGGGCCATTTTTAAGGGTGGGGCGTAACAGTTACATAGCAATGTCATTATGTTATGTGAGGTAACAAAGGAGTCCAATAGAGGAGTTTCAGGCAGGGGGGGGGAAACTCCCTCTGGAGAGAACATAGGGATTTTAGCCTTTGCAGACCATTTACATACACATAAATGTATATAACACACTACCGGAAAGTGAAAACAGCATAATTAGTGCCTCTTTAGTGTAATGTTATATCCCATCAATTGTTTTAACAGTTAATTTGTCATTGTTAGAGAAAGCAGTCAATGATGTAAAATATACCGTTACTATTGTATCATATTATATTATACTAACTCGTTTTTTGAGTCATTGTTCCAACAACTATGAACGTTAGCACCAAAGTAAAAGCTTTAAGTAAACAGTGTGGTAGAGGAGTCACAGTGGCTGCTGTTCTCTCACCCCAGCGGGTTGGCTCTGCAGGATGTCTGTGGCCTCCCGGTGGCTGAGGCCCAGCTGCAGCCACACAGCGTGTGTGTGAACCAGTCTGTCCAGAACAGTGAGACGCCGACGGAGGGAATCGTAGCCCGAATCTCTGGCTCCAGCCAGCCCAGATCTGATCCCAGTGCAGGGGGAAGTCTGTAGGAAGAGACCTTGCACCTCTTCGCCCAGTCTGAAAGATAGAACAAATATGAATCATACAATCTCTGTAATGCACTTATATCACCCCTGAGTATTGCAGCAAATATATATCAGACTAACTTCTATGTATCTCTATTAATAATGACTTTACTTTTGGAAGAAAACAGGAATTTCTCTGTAAAAGAAAGCAAGAGCATTACGTTTTGTATTTACTTTAAGCTAGTGACAGACTTTACGATTTTTTGGACACACTACAGATAATCACAAATTCCACCAAAATACATAGCGAAAAAGACATGGCAAGCATGCATAGGGAATGCTTTTGGGCGACTTTGGCTGTAACGTAGTGCACTCCTATTTGAATCTGAAGGTCGTGGGTTCGATCCAAGCCCCTTCAGTCGAGATGTCGATGTATCCTTGGCCAAAAACATTAACACCATGTCGCTCATGATGGCATGGCAAATGGATAATTGATAAAACGCTTTATAAAATGCAGCTCATGTACCATACATGAACACCACACTGAGTAATGGGGAGACATGTTAAGAGTCAAGTTGCTAAGAAGGAGAACCTGGATTATTGCATGTTCCTGTACCAAAACATACATAGGCTTTCAACTAAAAAAGCTATTGAATTGGGGAGACAAAATTAAGAAATAACCCTCATTTGTTAAATAGAGAGATGAAGGCTTAATTTAATGACTTAGCAGGACTGTGTTGAAATAGCACAGGCAGTTAATGAGACTTGGACTGGTCTTTCAGTCTCAGGAATAAATAAAGCTGTGTGTAATTGGGATAGCAATGGAAGGAAAATGTTGTATTTTTTAAACGTTTAATCCAAAGGCGAACATATACATAGAGAACAGAACACGGGACCTAGGATGGAACCTTGTGGGACACCAGCTGGGTGAAAATTAAAGTTGCCAATGTTGACGGATAAGCTTCTATATTTTAAGTAGGATGTGAACCAGTTAAAGGAAGTGCCATCAACACAATCAGGATGGCACCGACACCAGAGTCAAGAATAGTATGTCATTTTACACTTTCAGCAAGGCAGACCCTGTGCTATGGTATGAACAAAACACTGACAAAGGTGTTTTTCTTGTTGTAGGTGGGGCAGCAATTGAACATTCAAAAGGAATGAAATATAAGAAATAGGTCTGTAGTTACTAGGCAGACTGGTTTAATTTAAGGATTTTTCAAAACCGCTGCATACTTGAAAAAGGTTTGTTTTAATTTTCTCAACCTTGCTTGTACCAGAGATTGCCAGAGATTATTCACACTTAGTGGGAGATATGTCAAAGCAGGTACTTTGGCAGGGCAGATGACAGAGTACTGGATTTTTAAGAGTTGTTTGGAAATTAGGTCGAACATTTTTTCCCCTCTTGCAGCCTTAACACATCTGAGATGATTGTTGCACATAAGTTCGAAGGAAAGTCAAAGCCCATCCCACTTTGTCCTTAAAACCTTTGAATAATTGGGATAGATCGTCTCAATACTTTGACGTACAGTTCATCAGAGAAAGAGCAGATCGCGTTCACACCGGAATAAGTCCCTGAGGGAGCATTAGGCAAATGAAGCTGCTGACGTCACTTCTTCTGCTTTGGGTTTACTGGCAGGCCGCAAACAACTTCATGGCATATACTGCCACTTGAAGTCCCCAGCTGGAAGTCCCCGGAGTTGGGGACTGGCTTCCGAGTAAATCGCCAAAACGCCGACACCTCCTCCATTCTCCACCGCTCCCATGTTTTCTTTTGTGCTGCCATAAGTTAGTCTCTCTGCGTTGTGTGCTGGGCTAATGCTAATGCTAATACTAATAATGCTAATGCGAGGAAAATAAAATGGCGGCTTCACAAAACTTTTTGGAAGTTTTACGGGGCGTGGTTTGCAATCCGCCCAGCCGATCAGAAACTGGAACCTTTTTCTCCCATGAAAGTACCTACTCTCTAGCAGGGACTGAAAAGGGGGTGAAAAGGTTCTCATGAACTAAGTTCTAGTTCCGGATTTTTTTGGTGTGAACGCACATTTTCAGAACTATATCGGAACTACACTGGTAAATGTACTCCGGTGTGAAAACGCCTAATATTCATCAAAACATCATTTAGGCCATGATTGTGCAACCCTAGGGAGACACATAAACACATATACACACACACACACACAACCTGAACAAATGTGTATACGCCACCCTAAGAGCTTACCCAAGCAGTGTATCTGTCTGCGGGTCTCCTTCCGCAGGCTCAGTCTTCTTCCCCATTTCCTTCTTCAACGTGCCAATTTCCACGGCAAATGAGTCAATAAGCTACAAGGACACACATGAAACAACACTCTCATTTTGAGGAAAGTTCAGAGATGAGTTCAAAATATTATTATCTGGAGGTGTTTTCAGCCCACAGGAGTGTGTTCAGGTGCTTCTACTGTATTTAGTTTTTTTTAGGTAATGACGGGTTCTCACTTCTGCAAGCTTAAAGTTTCATACGTGTAAAAGACAAAACTATCCCAAGCCAAAGCTCTTCCCACTGACTTTCTCACCAACCACAGCTTCTCAAGAGGAACACTTGCAGGAAACAATTAATAAAAGCACGATAGAGAGACAAGAGACATACAAAATTATGGGTGATATGGAGAAAATTGAAAAATCTAGTTTCATATCATAATATTGATATATTGTCTAGTCCTTACTCAGCTGCATTAAATCACAGAGTTCCACAGATCCCAGTTTCCATCATTTATTGCCCATCTGTTTTTCACACCAACGTAGCCTTAGCCGTTTTTGTGGCATTCGAATGCAAGACCTAAGACCATGTGTGTTGCCTGACCAGTTCACTGCCTCTAAACACACATAGCAAGATATTTTTAATCCTCTAGCAACTGGTCCAAAATGTTATTTTAGTTGAATAGCTGATCTGTTTTAGCACAGCCTCTTCATGGCTGAAGGCTTTCAGGTTAACTAGAACTTGGCGAGGGAAGCATCAATCGGCTTTTTTAAGTCCAGCAAGAATATACAAATTGAAAATTAGTACGTAATGAAACAAAGATTCCCAATAAAAAGGAACAGGAAGTATTGTGGTTAGCTTGGCATATCTGGAGACGAGAGGCTGGCTTTATTGGATGGTCACTTCCTGGATCACCGGTTCCCCAAAAAGCTGCATTCTCTCCGCTCTCCTATTTTGCCTGGATAGCAAGATCTGCACCTCTATTCGGAGGACATTGGACTCATCTATTGTTTAATAGGAATACTGCAAGAAAACGATTTCTTTGAAAACAGATTTAGTCTGATTCTTTTCAGTGTTAAGCTGCCGTCATTTGTTTCGTTTCCTGATTACTTGTCTAGTTGGGAAATGTGTCTGTTGGGTAACATCACATCAGCTGCTTTAAGCAGAGAGGAAACTATTAGCTCAGCTGTTTCAAAGGAAATCACAAATGTTGACTCATTTAATTTGTCAAAGGCACATTTGAGGATAACAACTCAGAAGATTTACAATCTGGACTTCGACCGTAACATTCTATGTTGTGCACTGGACTATTTTTCCTTTGTACAGACAGAGAATGATATTCCATTTTAAGAATTGGACTTCCTTTTGGTTTTTATAAAAACGTTTTTCTAAATGTATAAGGCTTCATTGGCATGATCATATTTGGATGCAGTACAGATTTAATTATAATAATAGTATGCTTGAAAATATTAATGGGAAAAACTACAAGCATGAGTGTTTGAGGTAAATTCCTGCCGACAACTGGAACAACTATAAAAACACAAACAGTATTTATGAAAAAACAAACACATTCATGGTGATTCAAGATACTGATCACCATGTCTGTGTTTTGTTTTCATTAATGACCACCTTGCTGCACATTATCCCTTACTAATTACAGTTTATGTTTGTTTATTTATGTAACTTTAGGTGTAGACATATTGTTTGCAATCAGCTGATCTGCTCAAGTTACCACGGTTTGACTTAACGGTCAGGCTAACTGTGAGGTGTGCTTACTCTTAAAGGCCGTGGGTTTAAGACAGGCCTGTAATTATTACAGTGACACATCCTCTGAAGTGGTCGGCAAGTCTTTGAACGGTCTAGTTAAGCACAGTAAGCAGCTTCATTTCAGCTAGTGAACAATAGAGAATATTGTGATGGTATGCTTTGGGTTTTTCATGGTTTGTGTTCACATAAAAACCTCTGTGATCCGTGTTTTTCACTTGGCAGCTCTGATAACAAAACAATCGTCGGACGGGAGAGAACTGCCAGGAAGACAAAAGACAGAGGGCCGTCTACACATCCATCCTCCTCTTTATTCTTCTACACGACTAAGCCTGTAACTGAAGGGTTTTCTGAGCCCCCCACCCCAAACCCATTTCCTTACCTGAAGTGTTTTTCATATTTGTCAAGGATAGGGTGACCAGATGTGGGACAAAGAGTATGTGTGTGGGACAATTTGGGACATGTTATCGATACTGAATTAAAAGAAAACACTATCCATCTGAAATAGCATGTCCTGCAGTGGTTTTACTTTTGAAACTATTGCCAACCCAAATGCAGGTCTCAATATGCATTATGATTTTATGTTTTGTGAGCTTATCTCTCTCTGTACAGCACTTTGGTCTCAAAGTTTTTAAAGTGCTATATAAATAAAGTTGAATTGGATTGGATTGGATATGCGGGACTACAATAATGGTACCCCACATTCTTGCATTAAGCCGGTCAGTTGGTCAACCTAGTCAAGGATAATTTTCTGACAATATTCTAAGACTATCATGACATAAGTCTGACACTGTTAATAATAATAATAATTTAGATTTTTATAGCGCATTTCAAGAAATCCAAGGACGCTTTAGATAGAGCGTAGATAGGGAGATAACTAAGTCATAATAATCATACAGACACACAGGTTGAAAAACTGGTTGCTGGGTACTGCATTTTAGCTGGGGCTGAAGGCCTGAGTGAACAGATGGTGTTTGAGTTTTGTTCTGACGTCCTGCATCAAGCAGGACAACTGCTCACCTTAGTCAGGGATTTGTATGTTAACTAGGATGGCTAAGAGCTTCTGTCTTCACATGTCTGTCTGCAGAAATAATTTAGCCTCATAGATAGAATGATTTGAGTTTCTGTACCTTGAAGAAACTGCCTCTTCTCTCCTGCCTGCAGGATGGACTGATGATGGTGGTGGACATGTTGTCTGTAGAGGCTTCTCTGCCGGTCTCAGTCTTCTGAACTCTCTGTGAGGACACAAAGAAATGTTTAAAGACCCGCAGTTCACTATCTGCTCTGCACAAAACAGCAGATGGTGAAGACGCTTCCTTTGGCGCTCAAAACCTGTATAGACCACTATTACCTATAGAGCAACACTCGTAAGTGGTTCATAATATTATTGGTGGTTCAGCGATTAAGCGTTGAATCGCATTTGTGTTAACACAAGCAGATTCAGTATTTTTGAGATTATCTTATTCACACTAACACTATTATAATGAGTGCATGCGACTGTTCAAACTCTTTGGTGAAACTGTATGTTGTGTATGTTGAGTTAAAATTCTACTTCAGCTTGGAACCTGATGAAGCAAAAAAATAAGCAACACAAGGTTTCAGCTGGTATTAACGTAAAGTCATATTTCAACTTTTGAAATCATTGCTCTCAAATAAAAATATTTTGCCACAACGGCTCTCTCAATTAAAACAATAACAATGGTGGCATTGAGAATGGCTTGGAATCCTTGTAGTTGTCTTCTCCCAATAGAACTCCTTCATTATATATTGGTGTCATCGGAATTCCACTGTTTTGTTTTCCTGATCACAGCTTCAATATATGGGGCGAAGCCTGTGGGCTAGTTCAGGCAGTCAACTCGAGCACCAATCAGACATTAACACGTGACGCACCTCGTCCCTCTTACAACCAACCAAACACATTCTCCTAAACATGCCGCTCTAAAGCTTCCAGGTCTTCCTGCCTCTGCCTCGCTATGCTGCTCCTGCCACTGCTGTGTTCACTTGCTATTGCTACATGTTGCTGCTTCTTGCCTGATGATCACAAAACATAAAATATATATATATATTTTTTTATTATTATTAAACTTTGAATAATGTATTCACTCAAATACATACCAAATATAATAAAATAAACATTAAGGTGCAGCATTTCGATGAACTGAAATCATCTGTACATGAACTGTACTGTACAAGTACTCACCTAAGCAGCCAGCTTGACATTAGGACTTGCTTGCTTGTCATTGTATGTTCATGGTTTTTTAAAGAAAAATGTACTTGTCCACATTGCTTGCTGAAAGGGCAGATCTGCTGGCACTAACAATGTCTCCTTTTGTGGAGAGCACCCTCTCGGTAGGGACATAGGTAGCAGATACAGCCAGGTAGCGCTTTGCTAACATGGCACTGCACTTTTTGCGAGTGGTGGAGGCTTAAATGCTAGTGTTGGGTTTGCACTTCAGTCACGTTCGGGTGATGCCTTTTCAAATGAGTGTGCAAGTTTGATGTATTGCCAGCCGCGTAACCAATTTTAGTTGAACAATGCCGACAAACAACTTTGGTTCGGTCCACCTGTCTTTGTCCGTCATCCTTGTATGTAACTGCGAAACCAAAATGTTCCCAAACGGGAGACTTCAATGATGCTGGAGGATTTTCAACCTCAACTTTATCTGCGTTCGCCATTTCGACAGTTCCTCAAATTACTGACTTTGAATTTGAACGCATCCCTGTGACCAGCTCTCATAGTATGCCTCTCGTCCAATGAAATGACTTGCTCGCTCTATGACGCGTTGAACCCAATGTGAGCAAATTACACTGAATGCTGCGACGCAGCACCTGAGATTACTTTCAAAACGTTTTTCACGTTTAACGTTATATATGTACCTTTGGTACACATGTGTACCGACCCAAAGAAGGGCGCATACGAATATTTCGGTACGATAACCGCGTTACACCTAATGGGTAACACAACCCGCCCCAAACATGGCTAATCCTATCAGAAGGCATAAAAAGAAACCCAGATTTGCCATCACCGAGCCTGCAAAAGACAAACCAGCCTGTTCAACAGCTGCGTTTTTAAGAAGCCAATAGACATGAAAGCCGAGAGACAAAAATAATAACGAAAGCGCATGGCGCGCCCCTGAAACACTTATTATGTAATATTTCAAGATATCTTTTTAGTTTACCAGCTTGATGAACCTTTTTGTTTGTACATCAGCCATTAAGAAATATGGCCATCTGAGGTGTGGTACGTTGTGTTTGTTTTTAACTTGTATGAACAGTTAAATTATTCACAAATGTTAGAGTTCCTTAGTTTTATACGAAATTGCACACTGTTGCAAAAAGAATAACAAACCTGGCAATTATGTATTTGGGACTTTTTTGCTTTTCCCTTGTGTACCTAACCCGTACGCGAACCGTTTTACCCCAAACCGAGTACTATACCGAACTCATGAATTCTGTGA